TGGTGACCATTACCTGGCATACAGTAACGGTGTGCAGGGAACAACAATTCACAGTTGAAACTTTTCATTTTCTTATCAGTAAACCTTTTCAATCTGTGCCATACTGTACAGTTTGAGTAATGGTGCAGCACATACTCGATTGATTTTGAAATGTTGAAACTGAAAAAGAGAGACGATAGGTTTTCTTACTATCTCACACTTCTGGGATATTCATGAGCATCCATATCCATCAGCACTGTGCCTCTGGACGTCTTAACGCTCTGACTTGACTTTGTAGCGCAGAACCAGGTAAGTGGCGAGTCTGAGGATCAGGAAGAAAACCCCCAGCACCATGAAGTCCACGTAAAGCTTTGCGTCCTCCACATCCAACAGCTGCAAGACCTCCTCTGGCTTTTGAAACTTACACACAGGGTCTGGACATTCAAGCTCAGACCGGTTCATCCCATAAATAGAGAGTATCACCCCCTCAAAGCCATACCTAAAAGTGGGTGATTAAAGAGAGTCAGTGTAGACAGTCAAACCACAGAAACCAATTACTAAAATGAGTTTAGAAAAAGCTTGAATTTTCTATTCAACAGCCTTAGAAATTCATTGGTAGCTGACATACCTGACATAGGAAACATAAGAGCTCCACTGTAGGTATTTGGGAATGGTGTCAAAATTGACAAAGAAGCCAGAGAAAAGGAGGACAGGTATGGCTGTGACTGGGCCCACAAATGTTGCCACCTGTGGAATAAATTAGCAGCAAAAATCATATGAAAAAGTTAATTTCTTACCTTGTAAGCAGACAAAAGAAAGTACTGTAGTATAGCATTTTACATTTAGGAAAATAAGATCAGAACTGCCTTTTTCACTCATTTATTAACAGAAAATGCTGTTTCAAAGACTTAGTTATAATAAAAAGGTTGCATCATCATTATCCGCTGTTTGCTCACACTGGTCACTTTTTCTATAAAATGCGCGCTTGGTGCATCCTTGATGATGCAGCTAAGGAACCTTGATTCAGTTCATCTGGAGACAGCATTTTTCAGTTAGAAGAACATTTATAACTCATCTAAGTGATTTCTTCCATCTCAGCTGACTGCACATTCTCCATATTAACAGTACAGCTGCACGACAATCAGAACCAGCACCATTGCCTAACACAAGATCAGCTTCATGATTGTTAATATGCAAATTATCATAACCCTTGCTCAGTGGCCTTACGCGCTGTTTACAGAGACTTGGGGAACGGCTGGGAAGCCACATCAAAGGTGGGATGTTGCAGTTTAGTTATACCTACAGAGTAGGGGGCACTCTTTCAGTGATGAGGATGAGGATCAGCCTAGACATGGAGGAGAGCTGGTTTGAGCAAACGGCCATATGTATAAAAGGAGAGCAACCATGTCTAGATCAAGGAGGATACCTAAGAGTATCTTCACATAGCTGGTTAACTGTCATTTTAATATGCATATTATCCATCCATGTTCTTTTTCCCTTTTTCTTGAGAAGAAGGGAGCGTCTGAAGCCAAGAGGTGGGCCACACCCTGAAGAAGCTACCAGTCTGTTGCAAGGCTGACACACAGATCATTCACACTCACATTTAAACCTATAGTCAATTTAAAATTGCAAGTTAACCTAACCTCACCAACTACATGTCTTCGGACTGTGGGAGGAACCTGGAGTACCCGGAGAGAAGGCGTGCAGACTTGGGGAGAACATCCAAAGACCACACAGAAAGGAGATTCAAACCCAGGACCTTGTTGCTGCAAACCACCATGCCACAACGCTCTCTGAATGTAATGTGCATATTAATGACCACAAACTGAGCTCGTGGCTCATTGTCAGGCGATGCTGCTCGTTGTGATTGTTGTGCAGCTGCCTTGTTTATAAGGCTGGGAGATCTGCAATCAGCTGAGACTGAAGATAACACAACGTCTGGATGAACTGAATCAACTTTCTGCAATATAAAATTTGTTCTGTTACATTGTGGAACTGTCATTATAAATGTTGCTTTTTTCCCCATTGCATTGCATTACAGATTTTTGAGGACCTTATCATTCATTGTGGCAAACTATAAGTGGTAAGAAGACACTATGCCACTGCGAAGTCTGGGATACTTGTCAGCATCCATGTCAGTGCTGGATAACAAGTTATTTAAAATATATAATAACGAAGTAATTACATAACTTTAAAACATCAGCTAGACACCTTATCAAACTCTGTCAAGAAACCTTTATATAAAGACACACAGTAGCCACCATTCTGGGATGGCTGTAGGTCAGCAGGTAGAGCAGGTCATCTACTAATCGTAAGGCTGGTGGCCACTCCAGTATACATGCCAAATATCCTTCGGCAAGATACTAATCACAAGTTGCTCTCTGATGCATCCTGACTGTGAATGTTTGATAGAAAGCACTTATGTAGAAAAAGCATTTTAAAAAAGTGAATTAGGCGCTGAGTGTCTCAGGCAGAGTAGATAAGATCCGGTCCTTTTACCATTCTCTTTATTTACATGTTGCATACATATTATGTTTTTTTATTGAACAAATGCCAAAATAAAAACTGAAACACTGTGGTTTATTAACCAGCTATCTGCAGAAATGTATTAACAATGCATCCAGTGTAACTTTGCCTCACCAACAACAGAAGCCTTCACAGAAGGTCACAGTAACATCAAGCGTGCCTACAGAGCAACACCCCTCCCCCACCTAGGACAATCTGACCACCTCTATCTGCTCCTCATCCCTGCCTACATTCCCCTCAGGAAACAAACCCCTCGAAGCACCCATGTCATTAAAACATGGCCAGATGATGCTCTGTTTTGATCTGAAAGACTGGTCAATCTTTGAACAGAAGGACCTGGAAACCTCCACTCAGTCTGTCCTTTTCTACATTAAATGCTGTGTAGAGAATGTGACATCCAGGTTTGTCCTAACTGAAAACCTTAGGTAACGAGTGAAGTACAGGCTCTGTTCATGACTCATAACTCGGCCTTCAGGCCGAGGGACATTTCCCTGTTCTGCACTGCCAGCGCCAACCTGAGGAATGGCATTAAATGGGCCAAGGAGGCCTGCAGGAGGAGGATAGAGGGCTTCTTCACCACCACCAACACCCACCAGTTGTGGAGAGGTATTCAAACTTTCAGTAAGTACAAAGGACAGAGCCCCACAACCCCCTACAGCAGCCTCAAACTCACAGGGGAGCACAACACCTTCTTTGCTCAGCTTGAAACCACCCCTCCCCTGGGAAATTCTGAGGAAGAATAACCTGGACCAGAAGCTGCTGCTGGCTTTCTACCGCTCCTCAGTGGAGAGCGTGCTCTCCTAGTGCCTGGGTGTTTGGTCCTTAGGAGCCACAACTGAGAATAGAAAGGCTGTGCAGAGGGTAATTAACACTGCCCAAAAAATCATTGGCTGCACTTTGCCACCCCTGGAGACCATTGCCAGATCCTCCTGTCTCAGGAACCAGAGCCATCACAGGTGACCCCTTGCACCCCGCCCACCACCTGTTTGGTTGGCACCTCAGGTCACTTGGGTCCTACACCTCCAGACTCATTAACAGCTTCTTCCACTGGGCCATTCAGACTGTCAACAACCACTATCCCCCCAGCTCATCTCTGCCCACCTACCCACCAATCTGAGCAATGGTCTAAGTAACCTTCATCACTCAGGCCACTCACACAGGCCACTTGCCCTATTCAGAGCAAGTCTTTACTTTGCACTACCTCTGAGCACTTTGCAACTGTTTTGTTCTCCATTGTGTGCCTTTGATCTTATCTTGTATATATCTATGTTGACTGTATATATTTCTCCTGTTTGCAGTTTATTCCTACTGTCTACTATTTAGTGAGTGGAGAGGAGCACCTACAATTTCATTGTACATGTACAATGACAATAAAGGGCTATTCTATTCTATTCTATTCTATTCTATTCTATTCTATTCTATTCTACCTCACACCTTCCACTTTTAAACAAAACTATCATTCCTAAATGCAGACTTGCCAGAATAAACAAAGCCAGTTTACAAAAAACACAGAAAGTTTTGTTAATAAAAATTTTGGATTGCACGGATACTTTTTTTTTTTTTAAATTTTGATAAAGGGTGACCACCTCCACCTGCGTTAAACAATAAATGATTACAACACCTCATCTGACACACACAATCTCTTGTGTGCTACATGTGAAAAATTTAATGCCAAGATGTTCGCAGCATTGTTCAGAGTAAATGTATGACTAAAACCACCCACTGTAGTAACAACTCTGCTGTGTGAGCCCATTCGATTGATTTCAAACAGTAGAGACAGTCCAGCAGCGAAAAAAGCAAAATCTGACACATAAACATCTTTTACTTTACTGAAAATCAGTCAGTGCACTACAGGTCCATTTATACATATTCAAGCATTAAAATATAGCCCATAACTAAGGGTGTAATTCCCCTGTAATTAAATGAAATTTCATTGTATTTTATTTGAAATTTCAATATATTATATTTACCTACAAATACCTAGACAGGGACACTAGAATAAGAAGGTAACAACTCAGGTTTTTACAGGAAACAAATAATTAATTACATTTTAAGTAATTTTAAGTTATGTGTAAGTAATTTTAGATTGTGTATCAGTAGGTTTAAGTACTGCATAACTTCAGGTACCACACAGGAAAGAACAAATAATTACATTTTAAGTAATTTTAAGTTGTGCATAAGTTTGGGTTATTTTACAGAAAAGAAGACACAACTTACACTGTAAGCAACTTTAAATATTGTGTAATTTCTTGGTAATTTTGCAAAAAAAAAAAGAAGCAATATTTTCCCATCTTAAATAGTACATTTACTTATGTACTTTTGTTTATGTACTTTTTGGGGTGCACCAAGCTACTTATTATGAAGTAGCTTAACTTTGCCTCTATCATTATAAAACCACATGGGTGCATTTATTTTTTCTTGTACGTTGTTGGGAGAGAACACTCCATTACTTACCTGCAGAGATGTTGATGCAGCTCCTATAAGCAGACCCAGCGACTGCGCCACCAGCGCTGTGGATGTAGACAAGGCCATAAAGAGCAGGTAGCGACCCACCTCTGCAGGTTGTTCTGTCATCCAGTACACTATACTACAGTACATAATTGGACAAATCACCTGTGAAGCAGATTTTTAATGCAATTAGTTTAAACTGTACTCCACGTATGCACAAAATACGAAGTGTTCAAAAAGCAAAACACTACCTGGAACGGTATGTCAGCCATGGTTTTGGCCAAGTAATAAGCCTTCAGGCTGTACCAGTAGTTAAGATGTTCTCTCACAAACACAGACATCTCTAGAGGAACTGTGGAACAACAGCGGCATTTAAAGACTTTCCACTTGTAACAGACAAACAACTTCCACTCTCTGCATAGAAGACAAGTCTTACACGTTAGCACTGTGGGCATCAGGGCAGCAAACATGAGGAAAAGCATAGAGAAGAAGAGGAAGCCAGTGTTGTTGAAAACCTTGCTGGCATCATTTCCAATTTTGAGATAGAGCAGGCCGATGAGTACTCCAATGGACAGATGGGACATCACCCTAAGGTGGGTCAGCACCTTGAGAAAAAAAAGAAATAAAACTCAAAAGTCTGTAACTCATGACAAGAATAAAAACAAAGTTTAAGTAAATTTTAATTGATAAAATCGGAAGATATTTATAGAGTGAATACTATACCGTATCTCTGCATATTGTAATGAAGGTTCTTTTGAAGAGGATGCAAAACTGTGTGAATGTACTGGTGGCGAAGCTATGCTTCTCAAGCGTTCCTGTGTCCTGTGCAAAATTAGAAATAATAGATTACTCATATGAGTTAAAATGATAACATGTAGCATTATTTCTTGGTGTATTTTAAACAAGAGTGTTTCTGTCTAGTGGCAGAGACACTTGCAGCTTACTTACTGTCTATAACTTGTTTTGTTTTACAAAAATGAAATTGAAAACTATGACGGTGAGGATATCTCTATTCAACTCCACAGGGAAACATGTTCTCACTAATTATTATTACTAGGAGGAGCGGGATCAGGATGCAGCAGCACCCAGGGGCCAGCTCTTCATGTAAGCCGCTGCTTTGGTCAAGGGCACGGTGACAGCAGAATTAACCCAGTGTGTTTTCATGAAGAAACCAAAGTAAGCTCGAAGCGTGAGGAGTGGTCGCAAACTCCACACGGACCAGGTTCGAACTCAAAACTCCACTTCCTGTGCAGATCTAAGCTAAATCCACACTATAGCTGTAGTTTTATTTAAAGGACAGATACAAAAGCGGTGTTTGTCTTCTGGCTCAAGCAGAATCAGAAGGGTAATAAGTGCATAACCAAGAATAACAGAGAAAATCAATGACCTCACTGCGTTTAAAGGAAGCAGCAAGGCAAAACTGCAGTATGCATTAAACAGGAGTAACCGTAAAGCAGACAGCTGTGGGTGGTTTACAGTCACGGTTCTAGCATTTTTGCTGATGCTCTTATTAAGTTATTATATTATAAGGCTGAGAAAGACAAAGTGAGAAGAAAGCTTATAGAGAATAATGAGACGGATCAGTGGAGTAGGGATGAAAAATTTGTACCATTTAAAAGGTATTACTGTGAATAGGAAATAGGAAAGGTCTATTTTTTATTTTTTATTTTTTTGCCTCAATTTTTAGCTACTGATTATATTTTTTATTGGCTGTCATAGCAGCATTTTTAAGGTTCCCATTCAGCTGTGAGCAATTTGAGTATCTGGGGTAAAATACAACCCCAGTAAGCACAGCACTACTACTTTTTATAAAGGTATCGTCTATCATTTCTATTATACGGTGGCTTTGTAGTTTAGAAATATGTTGCCTGCATCTATTTGTTAATAGAAGTAGACAACAATAACGAATAACGGTAAATTCCAGGAAAACCAGAGACAACAAAATGCAAGATTTGATCAATTTTCCTAATAAATGAACAATTCTTTAAAATGAGTAAAGTCTGGTACTTTCAGGGGTTTAATAATGTTAAATACCAGACACACAGGGTGTGTGTGATGTGTTAAAGTGCTGATATCGCTTACACTGTGACACTGTGAGGGACAGGAGGAGTCAGTTTTGTCCCTTGAGTTCTTCTTGCCCTCCTCTGAGCACAGTCCGCCCTGGACTGCGTCAAACAGCACTGGGTTCAGGTCTCCGTACTCCCCCGATGCCACCTCAATGACTGGGAATAGAGAGGACAAGCTAATGAGAACGATGCATAACATATAAAAAGTTATGCATGGATATACACTAGTAATCTACTCACTGAAATCAGCTGGATTATGATATGTCGGGCAGTGGAGACCCAGGTTCTTCAGATAAGGGATGAGGTAAGGGACTGTGCCCTTGTATATGCACTGACCCTGACTGAGGATGTACAGCTGGTGAATAAGGAACACATGTACAGAGTAATCAACATAGTTTTGAACACAATGGCTCCGTGAATAATGCATCAACAACTGACAAAACAACAGGGCCGGGTATCGACTGCCGCACAGCTTCAGCTGCATGAAACAAACCCTGCAAGCATGTAGTGTCTGGGTCTGAGCTGCAGCTAATGGGTGGTGAGGCATGCCCGGGAGAAAGAGCACTCAAGTTACCTTATCAAACATCTCAAAGAGCTTGGCACTGGGCTGATGAATGGTACAGATGATTGTCCGTCCTCCCTGAGCCAAGGACTTCATGAGGGAAACGACCTGGAAGCAGGACGCGCTGTCCAGACCACTTGGATGGGACACGCAAAGAAAGATGCACTATTTAGACTGCATTTCAGCTGAAATCACACAGAGTTAATCCAGATGAGTGTTGTCCTACCTGGTGGGCTCATCAAAGAACATGACAGGTGGATTGTTAACCAGTTCCAGGGCAATGGCCAGTCTTTTACACTGGCCCCCAGAGAGAGAGATGGTACGTGTCTGAGCACACTCCTGAAGGCCCAGAGCGGTCAGGATCTCGTCCACCTTCAACCCAAACAAAGAGAAGTGTTGGAACGCCACGGCGTGCTTACTCAAAGCTAAAAATAGAGGTGTGCAATATGAAAGAGATTTAACTTCAAAGCCAAATATGGATGTATGCTGTGATGTGCAGCAGAAGGATTTCACTGCAGACAAGACAGTGGTCATCAAACGCAGCTGCACATCAGCGTACAGCGTTTTGCTGCCTTCAGTGTTGTTTGATGTGGATCAGACAAGTATTCTGGCTCCAATGTGATAATGTGGTTTGGGTTAGCTGTGATAATATGAGGCAGGGATGTCAAACCTATTTTGCATCATGGGCCACAGCCCACTTTAATGTTACTTTGGCCAGACCAGTTAAACCCACCTTTCTGTCGCTGTACAGAAGTTTAATCACATATTTAATCCCAGAGATATCTTAATATAAGAAAATGAAGTGCGATTACAGCAATATGTTGATAGAGAAATGCTGTTGTGGTAAATTAAAGAAATGTGTCAGCATGAGTCTTTGTCTTAAATTGTGAGTAATAAATTTGTAAAATTACAAAAATGTGTTGTTGGCCAGAGGGTCCTGTAGTTTTTACAAACGGAAAGCAGAAAATTTCCTTTTTTAAAATATTTTACTGAAAATAAAAATTCTATAGTAGGTAACTGTTTATCTATTACTTAATTACTTAATTACTTAATTATTTGTAATATGAACAAGGATGGGAAGTCATTATTTGTAAGAAAAGCTGTCAAACTTATGAAATACAATTAAAAGTCCAAAATTTATGCCTTCCTTAACATTTTCCAAAGCAGTCCAGGGGATCGGACAGGAGTTTTTGTTTGGACGATTCTGGCACCTGGACCTTACCTTTGACACCCCTGCTATAGGTCACTGATTTCCATTATATCAGGCAACTATTAGGTTGACCTCCTCTGTCTTGTCTGTGCCCTGCTTCTCTAAATAGCACAATATAAATTCTTATTAGAGAACGGTTTCAGGTTAAAGTGGTGACTTAAAAGTCCCTCAAAATTAAAATGATCAAAAAGTAAGCCTCCTCATTTTTTTTTTTGCAGTTTTACCCCAAATTACCTCAGAAACATTTGTATTAATGGAAAGCAAAAATCTCTGCAGCTAGACACATTTCTATTCATTTCCACACCCCTAACATCAGCAACCGCTTCTGCACGTAATGCAGAAATACCATCAGTAAGTTCAGACTTACAAGCTCCTTTTTGACCTGCATGCTCTCATTCAGTTTCAGATTGGCGGAAACCTGAAAGACAGACAGAAATCAGCTCTCATTATTGATCTAGGATTCAATGAGAAGTTAAGATTTTACTTTTTTAATGACCTCACCATCATGGCCTCCCTCGCAGTGAGGTGTGGCAGCAGCATATCATCTTGCATGATGTAGCAGGACATTTTCCTGAAAGTCCTCAAATCCCTCGGTCGGCCGTTCACCAGGATTGTACCTTTCATGCCGGTCTCCCTGTTTTTAAACACAGTACCAGCTTCTGAGCATGAGAGAGACCTCTTCATGTGCATATCATTCAATCTTCCATTTCCACATCTGCAATAACTCCAAGTGCAGGGCTCACCTGTACCCCGCCAAAATATTCATCAGTGTGGACTTTCCGGCTCCAGAAGGCCCCATGATACCAATCAGCTCTCTGCTGTTAAATCTTCCTGACAGACACTTCAGGAGGGCTTTATAACCTGACAACAAAAAAAGCTGAGTTATTTATAATCGTGTGATTTCACCAGTTATTCTTATAAGCATGACTTCAAAGTTAACACTCATGGTTTTAGGCCAAATGTTATAAGGTCTAATGTGAGCGTTTCTTCCTTTGGATTCAAATTGAACTCTTTCACTTATTCATTTAATCTTTTATTTGTTCATTTTTTTTAATGTGGCCCTGAAATGACACGGAAAGACGATGAGAACGAGAAGTACAAGAACTGTGTGGGAAAAAAAAAGAGTAACGATGGAAAAACAAAACTGAATGCTCCTGATCTGATAAACAGCTCGTTCAAAGTGTTTAGAGCAGGAGTACTGCACTTTATTACCTTTGCCAACGAGGTTGTGTTTTTCACAGCGTTCACGTGTCAGTTTGTCTGTAAACAAAGTTTTGATTAAATTCTGATAAAACTTTGTAGGAGTGCAGAGTAGGGTGATGTTGACAGCCCATTAAAAACTGTCTTACATCCACCAAGTCTTCAAGGTCAACTTAAAGATTTATTGGGCAAAAAAAACCTTTTAAAAGTATTAAATATGTCACATTTGACCTCTGACCTCAATAGATTGATCTGAAGGTCAAAGTGATAATAAAGCTATATAATTATATATAGCTTCATATGTTTCTTCCTGACATTATTTGTACTGACAACATATAGGCATATAAGGAATAACACATTGGGATTCTAGCTATCATGTTACTTTCGACCTCTGACCTCTTCAAAGTCAAATAAGGTCAAACTTTCATAAAATGTCTTCATCTTTAAAACTACGCTTACATTTCTGCCGCCTTTATTTGTATTGGCAATATTTAGGAAATGACACTGATATACGGGAATTTTAAATATCGCATTATAGTTTGCATCCAAATATCATGTCACATTTGACCTCTGACCTCACGATTACGTGTCACATCTGCCTTTCTTTCAAACTGACCCCAAACACATTATATCTTTAAAGAAAGTGTTAAGAGACAGAGGATGAGCTGCTTAGTTCATTAGAAATACACTGCGATGTAAAATATAATCAGCTCAAGTTATTCATGTCCAGTTATTGACAAATAACTTACTTTATTTAGTAGTAATTCACTTGGAATGCATGTTCACATTTACTGTATCCACAAAAATAAAAATAACTATGTCAAGTAGTTTCAACAGGACACTTTCCATTTAGTTTAATGCACTACACAAAACAAAAAGAATATTTATTAAATATAAAAATGTAACATTGTTCCCCTATAGCTGGCTTTGTGGAGGTCTGCGCTCCTCTTGTTGAATGTATGTGTTACCACCCTCAGGCTTTACAAGAGACAAAAGCATGAAATGAACTCTTATATCCTGTGCTGGAATGTAAAGTGCTACGACCCATCCGCTTGATCATTTTTAAACTACTTGTTAAAAAAAAACCTTTTCAGCCTTCCGACAGTGTAACAGTGAAACAGGCAGTTTTGTGTCTCCAGTTGGAACGGACTAAGCTCACTGATTTTAGAAGAGCTTCAACAGGCGGTTATGCAGGTAGCAAGCCTATTTTCACTCCCCCACTTAAAGTCCCAGACGATAAATACCACCTTTAAGCAGAACTAAGAGTCCTGTCAGTCACAGCGCAGAGGTATTTGGCCATGGCATCCCTACCACCCAGCAAAGGGAGTCTTATTGTAAATTAGAGATGCACTTGCTGTTAGAAGCGACTTCTTAAGTGAAGTTGGCATACAGAATGAAGCTTGAACTGCAGTTAGAGGGGGCTAGGGTTCAGGTGCGAGACAAAGGAAGCCAAGTTTATTTGTTTAGCACAAAGACCGTTTCAACTGCTCTGTGTAATGCGTTAAAATGCTTAAAAGAAAGATGAACAATAAAAGGCTAATTCAAGAAAAGAAAGCCTTTAAATGCAAAAGATGTGAAAACAAAATGTTCCAAAAGATTAAGCACAAAATTGAAAAATACAGAAAAGTGAAAACTCATAAATATTACTTATAAGCGGGAAAGAAAAAGAAATTTAGCTTAGTTTTAAAAAAACACTATAGTTCAGACATATCCAAGCTCTCAGAGTCTCTGAGACCTGCAGGGGGTTTGGAGTGTGCATATTAAAGCAGTAATCTAAGATGATGATGCCCTCACTAGCACCAACAGATGACAGTCATTACTCCCATGCAGCGGTTTTAACAAACGGTTGCTTTGGTGTGACTTGCAAATGAAGATGACTCCGGTTTTAATGATGAACTTCTCTAACCTTTGCAGTTCTCCAGGCACAATGGGAACAGCAAAAACAACCAGCTTAAGAGCTGACAGAAAACCTGAAATCTTTTTGAAATCGAATGTCAAAAGGAGCTTTAAGTACCCTGGCTTTTGACGCATGTCTCCCTCGCCTTACCCATTTCTCCAGTGTCCGCACGGACACATTTTCCTGTCTTGAGCTGTGTAATTAGGGTCTCAGCAGCACAGCTGCCAGCCTTCCGAGTTAAATAGCCTAAAAGTAGTGCCCCCTCCTCCTTTCAGTGCTATAACATCAGACAGCCTCCACTCAGACAGCAGAGCTGCTTGCTGCCAGAGAAGCAGTGATGCCATGGCATGTGGTGCATACTGATGATCTAACCTGATGCTACAAGCCGTGGACGATAATGGCCTTATCTGTGTGGGTCTGCAGGGACATAACCCAGTGCCATGAGAGCCATAGATTATGTGGCTCACCTCACTGTTCACTGCTATATTCAGTGAGTGACTAAAGCCTGATCTCATAGACAAAGTCAAAGAAGGGGAATAGCATCAGGTGTGGTCATCACATGTCTAAAGTGAAAGAAAATTATTAGATCTTTCTCAACAAACCTTCTTCTTTTTTTCCCCTCACACTTAAAGTTTACTGTTTGTTCACTGGTATCTATTTTATCTAATTTCATTCTATCCTTAAAGGAAGTGTCTGCTAAAATACTACCTGGTTGGGGGGGAAAAAACACAATCCATCACAACCGACTGAAAAAAGAAAGAATACTTCACGGCTTTGCACGTCTACAACATTTTTATACATTTGATGCACAAAAATGATTTCTTTAAAAAAGCAGCAAAACCAGAGACACAACCCTTTTTTTGCATGCATTCTCCTTCTCTGTCAAAACCTGATGTCTAGGCTGTCCACCACACAGCTGACACTTCAGTCAGAGACGTGGGTGTGCTATAGGCTACTGGTGAGAGCCAATGCATCATGGAGCCACGGGCCTCAATAAGAGATGAAGAGCGAGTGATAGAAGTGTAAGTTCTTTCTCACTTCACAGCCTCATTTTCAGCCTGGCTGTTTAACGGAAGAAGCAGCTCTGTTAAACTGAAGGGATCAGAATATTTAATAGATAATAGCCAGCCTTTGTACGGCAAACAAACAGAGTGGCTCCCAGTTTACCTTCATTTGATCATGCAGACGTCATATAGAGATTTCATTTTCATATTTGGTCAACACTAATGAAAAATATCCATAATCTTTCTGCAAGACAATGTCAGCGATGAAGCAGGATGCATGATTTCCATCACAGAGTCTCAGAACTGAGCATCTATGCTCCATTTTGAGCATGAACCGCTCCTTTTACAGATTTGAGATTAGCCCTAAAATGATAATGGTACGGGAAGTGCAGCATTCAATGAATAAGCTGCAAATATAACAAAAAAATAAATAAAAGCAACCCTCCTTTGTCTACTAACCAGATGATCAGTGCAGGTGCAATGAGCAACTCACAGTAAATCGCCTGGGGGCATGTAAACATTTCCCACTCTCCCTTCCTCCCTCCCTCCCCTGTTAAGTATGAGCTAGTGTTTCACCAGTTATCTCCCTCGGGAGGAAAATATCCTCAACATGAAAGCGGGTCACAGTAGCTTCATCCTAGCAGCGATAAATAACTGGCCTCACGACAAAAGGGCCCACAATAACAATAACACAGACAGAGGACGGCTCATGCATTACCTTCCTCCACTGACTTACAGTAAACAGAAACTACGTTCACTGCATTACAAGTTCTTCTGCTTCCTGCTCATCACAGAGATTTTCAGAGGTGACTCACAAGCAGTGTGTCACTAACCAAAAGACTTAAACACATTAAATACAAATGACGTCACTTGCTCACGGCTCGTCCTCTTTGCTGTCTTACAATGTGTAATTCAGTGGGAATTATATAAAAACGTGTGTTTTTCACTTGATATAAATGCACACAGCAGATCAGCAGTTCTAAGCTCTGTGCTGTTACACTGTCTTTGCAGCTTTGATCAGAGAGGAGCAGCTCTGAGCTTAGCTGGGTAAGTGAGGCACAAACACAGACAAGCCCCTCAGAATAAACTCCAGCACAGGTGAAATATTAAAAGATTAGAAAGTTAGGTGTGGCTTGCTGGTTAAAACAAATGGGCAGGATGGGCCCAGTATGAGGCGTGATCGGAGGTTCAGCGAGTTTGGACAGAGGGTAAGATGACAAGGAGAACCTCTTTATGAATGGAGCCAATTAATTTGCAAAAGCTGATGGAGAGACACTTTCTGTTCACACATCATCAGGCTGATGAGCTGAGGCAGGCACCCCGATGAGAAAACAGAAGCAAACCAGGGGCTGATTTTAATAAGACTAGCCTCCAAAAAACATGGGCTTCAATGGACAAAGCAACGCTGGATTATTGATCCAAGCTAGAGGTACCCTCGCTGTTCCTCTTCGCTCCTTGTTGATACTCTCCACGAATTCAGGTTTCACAATACTCCTCTGCCAGGCTTTCATAATGCGCATCAATATTACACAAGACTGAAAATAGCACAACCTGCAATGCATCATGTAGAGGCTTTCCTAGGGTAACATGTGCCTAATGTAAATAAAGGATTCCTCTGAAGCACCCTTTATCCTCACATTCCCCCATCCTTTTGAGCATATAGAGCATTAAAAAAAAAGCAGCTAAACCGAACAGTTTGCGGAGGGTGGTTTATTTGACGAGTCGACTGAAGGCCGGAGGCTCATCAGCAACCAGGGCGTTGAGTTTAAGCGCTGTTTGTATTTCACAAGCTCAAGCTCAACAGCTCAATCATGGGCTTGTCTCGCCATTGCCACAAAAGAGACGCAAGCAGCGTGCCAACCTGCAAGTGTAAATTATTTACTGTGTCTAAACTGTGCTGAGCGCAGCAAAGCTTGCAGGCACACTGGCTGCTGTAACATGGTGGAGGTCTGGGAGTGTGTGTGTGCAGTGGGCAGGGATACATGTGGCAGAATAATGGAGAAGGGTAACAGAAAATAACAACAACAAGAAAAAATTGTTTTTCTTAAATGTCACAAAGGCTTTTAAAGGCCTCCTCGTATTGATCGCCATTGGTGATGTTTGCTTGCTCATCCATCATGGTTACTGTGTGAATTAAGCATTGGCCGTACCTCTCCTCCTCCACCACGGACCCTCCCGGATGGTGTACGAAAGCTCATTGAACTCCAGGTCCACAGCGGAGCGGCGTGGGAGGTGGGAGAAGCGCTGGGCCTCAGTGATGTGGTTCTCGACTTTTTTCAGGTGGGTGAGCAGCGGCGCCTCCTGAGGCGCTCCGCCATGAAGTTTGGTCTCCTCCATGGGGATGCTGACCGAGCCCTGCTCGATCGTCTTCTCAGCCATGCTGAAAGGCTGCAGGGGACGGAGAGAGGGAGACGTGTCAGTCTCTGCTTCAAAACAATGGCGTCTCGTATCTCTGGTTTTACACAGGTTATGAAGCGTAGCTCCCCTGATAAATGAACCAAAGCAAGGTTCGTTAATCACAAAGTATAGCTGACAGAGATAGTTTTTGTGTCACGTGCTAGATGTAGTTACAAATAAAAGACACCATAATAAACCAGATTAATTCAAACTTTAGCTGGTAAACGGCATTATCCACGCAGCAGCTCTAATTCATTTGAAGTATTTTCTACATAGTGAACAAACTGATAGACTTTTGTAGCCTCAGCAGAGGTGAGTGCATAAGGGTGTGTTCCAGGAATGGTTTTAGTTTAACTGGAGACATTATCCTAAAACTAGGTGCCGGACATGATCTGATTACAGTTTATGCTATGGACTGGCTGTTTTAAGGGAATGAGATTCAGAGCGTGAGGAGCTGGGATCTGGTTTCAGTCCTGCAGCACACTTCTGCTGATTCACACAAATTCACCCTGAGTCAAAGCAGCCTGTTGGAAGTGTAAACAAAATTATAACACAGTTATTTCATTAATCATTAATGAAAGTCAATAGGTTTTGATACACATAAATTACTATTAGAACTAAGTTTAATTAACTCGGGGGATAACGGGCCTAATTCAGACAGCTTAAGGAATTAATTGAGTGGCCTGGTTTTGACCAGTACGAGTTTTTGTTATTAAGAACCTTTAAATGAACTACGTGGATGTTACACATCAACATAAACATATTAAAGTACTATTGTGTGAGTGAATGATGTATGCCCAAAGTCCTGACTCTAAGTAACTTGATTACATGTAATGTTATTGCATAAGTACAAAAACTTAAATTGCAATCTGGGCAAATGAAATTTACTTGATTCATTTTACACCAAACATATTGGTGCATTGTTGAAAAAAATGGTATAGATGCATTTGATCAATAATGTCTGTGTTTATGTGTTTAAGCAGCAGGCTTATATCAAATTTTGTGTGATAATGTCCAAAATTGTGGAACTTGCTTACTGGCATGTCCTCCATAGTAATGTGGAGACTACTATCTGTATGTTCACAGATTGCTCCGACTTAGTGGGTCGGTATGTATATTTAACAAGCTCATACTATTTATAATCATCTTTCTTTATAATATAAAAGTCTTGTATGTGTCTAAGTTTAAGAGAACAGAACTAATGCATAAAATTACAAAATTACATCCAAATAATTTTGAAAAAGAAAAACCTAGTTATGCAAGTCTGAAATGGCCATAATAATAATATAATAACAATAAAAATAATATGATTATGTCTTTAGGACAGTTTTAGCCATTGTGGACAGATACAAATAAACAGGATATTGCAATGCATGCAATATACACATACACAAACCACGCCAGATCCTCCACTTAGCCATGTCCAAGTGTGATCATTGCAGGTACCACTGACGATTATTACAAGACGCCAATCAGATCACATATACTACTGAAATTTGGGATGGATGTAAAAGTATATCAGAAAACATTTGTGGGATGCGTATTTGAATAACTACCCAAATCCAAAATGTTTAAGCAATTACTGTAAAAGCTACAAACGTCTGCTGCTGTCATGCGAGCCTTGCAGTGCTCGCAGTAGTACTCTGAGTCAGTGTCTGCCACTGATGACCTACTGTATGTGTAATAAAATATCCTCAGATAAAGGAGGGCCAGTGATGAAGATTGACCAAGGCTTCTATTGATCATCCTCCCATTAGTGACTTTCCATTACAAGCCTGCATATAAGCGTTGTAAAACCCTGACAGACTTTAATGGCCTCTCAGTCAGAGGAAGGCCTCAGTGTTTCACCATGTGCGGCCCTAAAGACAGGATACATGAGCTCAGACAGCCATAGAAGAAGTCTCCTATACAGGGGGGTGAAATATGGTTATCACTATAATGTATAGCAGTGCAATATGCCCTGATTCTGCGCCCTGCAGAGACTTGCCATTGGTGGTGAGGGATGCTCACATCTCTCCAAAAAGCACCTGTTAACAGTAAAAGGGTGAAAGCCAGATACAGGATTTAGCAGAAGTGACTTTTTTAAGTAGATGAGTCATACATTAGTATGATCTGAGGACATCCTTGCAGTAAAAGTGGCTTCACCGGTCATTTCTAAATATGCAGTGTGTTTCATTGCACATGCACGCGCATACACGCAAAACATTTCACATACTTGTGTTGAAATGACCAGGTGAGCAGCTCAGCCCTGGTTTCCCTCCGGGTGAGAGCAACAGTGCTCAGTTGATCCCTTCAGGCAAAACAGCCCAGTCCTTCCACATCAGAAGGTCTCCCAAATAGTCCCAGCCCAGCAAAAAAATTCAAAAAAATTCAAAAAAATAATAATAAAAATAAATAGATGAAGATGATCACCACGAGCCACAGTCAAGCAAAAATCAGCGGGGCAGTGAAGGACCGAGCTGTGTTCCCCTTATCAATATCACTCGGGGTGCGGCGCACATCATCCCGCATCAACTACAGCAACCCCTGAGATTAAGATCATGTCCGGCCTCAGACTATGACTGCATCCCGGAGAATCGTCAGGGGAGCGGGAAGACTGTCATGTTTTCCCTCGCTGAGATTGTTCCTTTCATGAAATCCGTCCGTCCCGAACTCGCATCCAAACGGCCTGTACTCACACACATCCCCCGCAGCGGTGTGGACGCCAATTCTCAGTCGGTGACATCTGGAATCACACACACAGACACACACACACTAAACCGAGCAAACAGCGCTGCAGATGCTTCAGCAGCATCAGCTGCAGCCCGACAGAGCAGCCGCCGTTATCCTCTCGCCGGTTAGTGCGTCTGTGTGGTGCGCACGCCGGTCTGGGATGCAGGGCGTTGCTGGCAAGATGCTAGTGGAGGAAATAGTGTTTTGGTTTTTTTTTGACAGATCAAATCGTCATCCCGACCTGGTGTTTTTTAATGAATTGGAAATAAAACCTGTGAACAATAATCGACAGCAGGGCTGATCGATAATAAGCACATTTCCGAAACATTTTAAGAATACTGGGGGGATTTAAAGCTGGGACACTGAACTTAAACTGGGAACTCATAAACAGTTAATTGAATATATTCATATCGCTGTGACTGCTAGAGCCTTCTTAATTAAATAGTGACCGCAATTTAAACATGTTTTTGTGCTGATTTTTGTTCTGTGGTTATTTTAGGCTGTCTCTTGCTGGGGTAACGTACAATATACAGCCTGTATATGCATAGATGTGCTAAGTGTATACATCCAATGCTGATACATATGATAAAGTCTGGCTCCATCGCTGTACACTTGGAGTAAACATGAGGCCCCTCTGTCTCTTTAAAGGCCGCACCTGCGCAGCTGCCTGGTGCTGATGCTGCAGTGCCCGGGTTATTTTCGGTAAAACAGACGGGGTTACTCGCGTTCAAGCGGGCCCTACATGCCTTACATCACCCCTGAGAGGAAATCAAAACCATTTTTAGCCAATCGCACCTGCCTCTTAATCAGACTAACTTAAAACGAGCTCTCACTCTCTGGTGGCCACACGAGCAATTTCAGCAAACCAGCCCATTTATCTTTCTCAGCCAGACTCATTTTGCTAAGAGAAGGGACCATAAAAATTTTTTCAGACGGTAAGGTTGGCCAGACGAGCAATTTCAGCAAACCAGCCCATTTATTTCTTTCTCAGCCAGACTCATTTTGCTAAGAGGAGGGACCATATTTTTTTTTTCAGACGGTAAGGTTTAGACCTAAATCAGCAGGTTTAAACTTTGGTTCTTTTAATTGAATTCTCTGTAGATCATCCTTGGTGTGATGGGGGATAAGTCAGTTCACAAAATAAAGGTGAACCTGCCGTTTTTAGTTCTATATTGATGTTTTGTGTCCCCATAACCAGGTTCGTCTGATAACACTTGGGTCACATTTAGTTCACCTACATTTATTATTCTACTGTCAAGATTAAAAAAAGAAAAAGAAAAAAGAAAGAAAAATTTGTTTGCGTAACATAATATTTGTCTTTAGGGAAAGAGATATTCTCCCACCCATCTGAAAGAAAAAGCCACAGCCACAGGACAGATCATGAATCATCTAGTGTAACCTCCGAGATAACAGTGTTTCTGTATTTATAAAGCACACATTAACCATCATTGATTGTCATATAAAAGCACTTCTGTGTTAGTTTTAAGTTTCAGGATGTGAATGTGAATGTTTAACCTCAACAAAGGTATGTGAGAGTGCCTCGTGACTTTCTGGGACTGGAGTTTGCTTACAAATGTGGGTTAGGCATGCTATAAGTAGTGAGGTGATGTGGTGTTAGACACACATCTGAGATAGAAGATCGCTCGACATGGCACTAAGGACATCAGCTCTGCTCTCTGTGGGCTTTTTCCTCCTGCTGACACGTGGCGCTCTTACAGACACAGATGAAGGTAAATTTTACAGAAGCTTTGATCTTTTGTAGAAGTGCATCATAAATTGTATCACATGTGAATTGCTTTGCGTGCACGATCAGGATCCCTCTCTATCAAACTGTCTGTGGAGAACGAGCAGTCTAACGAGCCTCTCAAGTCCTACTCCAGCAGTGTAGTAAAGGGAGGTGTACTGCTGGGAGCTCTGAGGAGACTGCACGATGCACAGCATGACTTTAAGTAAGTCCACCCATGACATCCCCTTTAATATAACTGTCTATCGTGCTTTATTGCTAAAAAAAGGAGCCCCGGCTGATTCTCTTACATATTTAAGCTGAGGGTGACCCATTTCTGCTCTTAAAGCCCTGACTGTTTGTGTTGCCAGGTTCACAGTGAAGGAGGACCCAAACTTTGGCCTGTTCTTGGAGAGTGTGAATGGAGTGGCTGGAAATAAGGATGAGAAGACATACTGGGAGATCCTGTCTGAAAGCTCTGGAGAATTCAACAGACTGGATGTGGGTGAGTGTCATCCCCAGAGCTTCACTTCAACATATCTGAGGACGACTTAATGAGCCATAATGAGACAGGAGATTGGGTTGTCTTTTTCAATTACTGCCTCCTACAGCTATTGTAAAATTATCTGCTCTGACAACATTTGTGCGTGTTTATCTTTTATAGAAGGAGAAGGCAGTGGTACTACACATTAATAGTGATTTATCTATTAAAGCATGTTTTTTTCTCTTTTAGAGAAAGGATGCTACGCCCCATTGTTATTTCTATTAGCTGCTGTTTCTGTTATAATGCTCTGTCAGGCTGTATGTGTGTAAATATCAGTGTTTGTCATCTAAACGTCGTACAGGGATCGGCTGCTACACGCCCAAAGCGGATGAGCACATCGTCTTGAGGTACACCACCTGGAGTCCTCAACAGTGATGTATGCTGAGCAGTAACTCCTCAAGATCACATGTGGAAGGGAATCAGTCCTAAATCTCACACTTGTGATGCACTTTGTGACAAAACAGCGACATCTAGTGGTTTAACCTGTAATGTCGTTTATTAAAGGCAGTGAAAGGGGAACAAAACACATTTTGAGTCTGTTTTTCGGTTTCAAAATGAAATCCGTTTTAGTTGAGGGAAGAAAAAAAAGACAGAGGAAAAAAATTCTGAAGTCTTTTAATGTGATTTTAAAATATATAAAACATATAAGCCATTAAATGGGAGCAGAGGTCAAAACTTATTAAATATTTTGTCATATATCTTTTGAAAATCTTTGATTAGTGACTTGCTTTCTCCACACTACTTTTACCATTTTTAAATTTGGAACTATATCAAGTGTCACAGGCCTGCCTGGAAGCCTAATGCTCAGTAGTTGTTTTGTGAGGAGCGATGGGATGATGGACACGGGGGATGACTGATAATATAATCCAATCAGAATATTATTAGTGCCGTCTGTAAAGCTCTGCTTCAGGTCTGCATGGCTCAGAAATGATCGCTTTAAATGTTAAACCTTTGATTTCAAAGACATGAGTAGTTTTTAATTCATTTCACATTCATACAATTTGGCTTGTGATCTACATTTCTCAATAAATAACTTGAAAATAAAAGTACACACAGCATGACACCTAAAGTATAAATGCTGTTAACAAATAAGTTCTACACCACTCTCTCTGTTAACTCTGACCCCTGAACAAACATCTTATAACAAGATTAAGGTCTCAGCTCCTTCCACGACAGATGGGCTGAGAGGAGATGCAAGATGCCAATCTCTTTGGCTTCACTTCCCTCTTTCCTTGTTTCTCTGATTCCCATCCTTATCAGAGGAAAGTAAACATGCGCACGTGTTTGCAGACATCCAAGCTAAATATAGTATGTGATATATATAGATATATCTGGACAGGAAATGATGTTGAAAAGCCCAAAAATGGGGTTTAAAATCAGCCAAAGTCGCTTTCTATTTCAAATAATTGCTGAACTTGAATCTAATCTAAACCTCTCAGGCGCCTTTCACTAAATTTGTCCTCCCTTTTGTTTTCTGACCCTCTCTCCGCTTTGCATCCTAAAGAGTGACTTAACACTGGCGTGCCAAAAGGATTTGTTCTTGCCATGTAATCCTTTACATACAGAAAGCAGGCAGGCAGGCTTGGAGTGTGTGCCGGAGAGATTAAATTATTGTCCTTAAACACCCAGATTTGTTCTTAAAATTGGATGAAGCAGCAGAAATGCAGCGTGACTCTTTGGTCTACAGCCGGTTTGTGTCTCCTCTTTGTCTGCAGCCTTGTTGCACTGTAAGCATCTCTGTGTTTTAGCCTGCAGACACTTGAAAAAACAAAACAAAAAAACAAAGCAGATATCATTTCTGTAAGAAGGATGGCAAATTCACGTGTAGAGCAATATTCAAATGTATTTGTACACAGACAGCACCGCAGCATGCTCATTCTGCTTTGCATTTGTCCTGACAATGTGGAGGTGGAAGCAACTCACCACACGAGAAAGCGCAGTCACAAATGCAAGGGACACATTGTGCAAAGAACCGTTTCCAGCCGGTCTCCTTCTTCCTGCAGTTGTCTATCTGAGTGCAGCCTCGTTTGGGTGGGCCGAAGTAGCTCTTACCCACGCAGGTGGAGTTGCATGTCCCACTCAGTTCACTCTCGCGGATTTCAATCTGCCCCTGCTTACACATTCCTAAAAGGCAGGTCAAAGAGCGTAAATGTTGATACTGGGTCAGAAAACCTATTGTTGTTGTTGTTTTGTTGCGGTTTGTGTGGACTCACGTAGGCAGATAGGCTTTGGAGTCCAGAGGCCATTAGGCTGACATGATCTGGTAGAGTTTCCAATAAGCCTGAATCCTGAGCGGCAGGTGTACCTCACCACAGATCCCACCCACCAGTCATTACCATACACTACTCCATTGTAGTCCACATCTGGCCTTCCACAGTTCACTGACACACAGAGAAAAGGAAATGCAGGAAATACAAAGCACAAGACGAAGGTATTTTTACAAGTGACCTTTTGTTTCTTCGCTCTGATTCTGAGTCTTACCTCTGCACAAGGATTTGTAGCCGAGCCAGCAGCAGCTAGAGTCTCCACAGTGATCTCTCCTCAGCTCCCGGTGCCGCGCTTTACAACCTCCTAAACAAAGCGGGGCTGACCCAGACCAGTATGTGTCATCTATGAAATTCGGCTGGGAAATCGATTCTATCTCACCTGAAGAATAAAAATACTAAATCATTGGCTTCTTAATACGCAAGGATTGGACAAACATTCATACATGTATGCCATGACTTAGGAACCAGAAAGTTAGTGAAGAATAGCATTACAGTGTCAGAAAAGGAGATCTTACCACTACCTTCCAGCTCTCCATTCCACTCAGGAACCTGAGATATCCCTCTGTGGATGGACCCAAACAACAACAGGAGCAGCAGTATGTAAAATCTCACAGTTCCCATCTCCTGATGAAGTAGTTTTTCTGAAAAAAATGTTTTAGGTGCACCCAGGAACCGACTAGAAGCATTATACTACGCCATCACTAGACTATGAAGCCATTAGAATCAGTCCCAGGAGAACCGAGTTCACTCACTGGCGGAAGAGGAAGCAGCGAGAGAGAGTTTTAGTAACGCTTCAACTAAGCTCTGTGTGCTGCCTAATCTTCTACAAACAGCTAATGCTGTGCACTGTTTATTATCCTGGGACTCCACTTGAGCAAAGCTGTGTCACGATTTTGACACCTGATCGACGGTTTTTATAAGTTTAAAGCAGAAGAGGGATGAAAAAATGACCGACTCCAAATTGATGAGAAGAGTGATGGATAACAGAGGTACTTGTACCTTAAACACAGACGCTTTATCCAATGCACATCATTCACATTAGGTGGATTAACTAAAATATATTAAATATATATAATTATATAGAATATATTGAGAGAAATATAGAAGAACTTTGTTTAGGTCAGCATGAAAAATTGTAATTGTTTTCTGGGGTTTTTTTGTCTTTCTTGTATGAGGAAAGCAGAAAACAAGCCTAATGTTGGCCTTGTTGCTTGAAAACAACCTGCTGAAGTTCAAGCAAAGGAAAGATGATTTAAGTGACTTTGAACATAGCATGGTTGTTGGTGCCAGACGGGCTGGTATGAGTTTAACCCTTTCTAGAGTTTACAGAAAATGGTTTGAAAGAGAAAATAACTTTATTATAACCAAGGTATGCAAAAGAGTATCTCTGAATGCACAACATGACCATCCATGAAGCAGATGGGCTGCAGCAGCAGAAGACCACACTCTGAGCGCCACTCCTGTCTCCTAAGAACAAGAAAAGCAAGCTAAAATTTCACAGGCTCACCAAGATTGAATAACAAAAGATTGAAAAGGCAACGCCTGGTCTGATGAGCCTGGATTTCCATTGTAACGCATCATGTCACAAAGCTTAAGTCATCTCAAATTGGTTTCTTGAACATGCCCTTAAGTCACCAGATCTCAAGCCAATATAACTCTTTTGAGATGTGGCAGGACGGGAGATTCACATCACGAATGTGCGATGACTGTGTGATGCTATCATGTCAAACTCTCAGAGATGTTTTGAGCACCTTGTGGAATCTAAGCGACAAATAATTAAGGCAGCTGTGCAGGCAGAATGGGGTCCAACCTGGTACCAACAAGGTGTAACTAATGATGTGGGTGGTGAATGTGGATGTTAACAATACTACAGAGACAATGTTTAGATTTACAGCTCAGTTGAGTTCAGTCAAGACATTTTAGACAATTGAGATGTCAATTATACAGCCGTGTATATCATTAACAGAGCTGCAGGAGTGCAGTTAGCTTTAGCAGGTGGAGCCAAAACAGATGATTGATGATATTACAAAACATTAAAAAATAGACAAAAAGGTTTCACTTGTTTATTCAAGTTTAACTGGGAAAGGTACACACTCTGCGAGATGATAAGGTGAGCCCTCTTAGCTTTAATCTACAGATTCTGTTGAATATTAATGACAACACGACGTCCCGTGACTCATGTTCTTAACCTTTAAAGGTTTCAGCTGATGTATCTCTGAATTTGATTGATAGAGAACCCAGCAGGCAGTGCAACATTAGCCTTCAGCTGTCTCCACAGATTTTACAGCACGAGACACGAACATCTTCTAACTGAAAACAGTTTAAAATTAAGATGCTACACATTAGCAAATAAACACATAAAGAAACAGTTTACTTGCCTAATATAGGCTTATATTCAACATGAATCATAACAGTACGTGTTCCTTAATTCAGATGTTATAATTTAAGTAAAGCAGTTCGTTTTCTGTTCAAATCCAAGCCAGGTTTTTGTAGAAGTTCATGAATTCCAAGAAGAGTGTGACTGTGTACTTTGTGCCTGCTCAGGATGTGCATCAAGTCAAAGCACCTCCATCTCCTGTTGCTGAGCAGCATCCTGGAGCTGCAGCATTACCGACTCCTCTCCTGCCTGTGACAGTCCTCCAGTGAGGACATACAGCATGCCCTCTTCCTGTCCGCCTTCTTCAGCGCCGACAGTCGAGCCTGGCTCGTCGATCCTCTGCTCTTCCAGCAGCACCCCTTTCAATTCCACCTGCACCTCTGCAGGAGCTGCTCCTTCCTGCAGCTCCTGACCTTCCGTCGGCTCACTGCCGCCGTCCTCCTCCGCTTGCCTGTTTTGTCTTTCTCGCATCAACTGCTCGGTCAGCTCCACGCTCTCGTAGCGAATCAGCTGCAGACGCAAGAAACCATCCTCGTGCTCCTTGTACCTGTCAAGAGCGAATAAAAATTCAAGCGTTGCAATAGCTATTACTGCAGCTGCTTCACTGCAACACTCACCTGAACCTGGGGTGTCCGGACGGCCACTTAAATTGGTGCTTTTTGTGCAGATGGACAGTGAGGTTGTTGCCCCTGGTGAAACACTGGCCGCACACATGGCACTTGTAGCGAGCTACAAAACTCCCCTGGTTATGGAAATAAAACACAATCATCAATGAAAACATCAAACATCCCTACTTGAATGCAAGTTTAAACAAACACTTCAAAGATCACCTCGTGCTCTCTTTTGTGGTGAATCTTCATGGTGCAAGCGGCTCGAGATGTAAAGCCACAGCCAGGGACGTCACAGTGGAAGGCTGACTCGCTGCTGTGGGTGTCCAGATGTTTGCGCAAGTCGACCAGATTCTTACAGCTGTGAGTTTGTTTGTTTTTTTAAAAACGGTGGGAGCAAATGTCATTGTCTGTTTAACAACTTAATCCTGACTTAAATTGGTGAAGTTTCAGGGGCTTGGGTACCTGTACTCGCAGTAGTCACAGCTGTATGGCTTCTCGTTGCTGTGGCGGAACTTGATATGGTTGCGCAGTGAAGAGGGCGACGGGCACGTCATGTCACATAATGGGCATTTGTAGTGGCTCACTGTCCCAATAAAGCAGTGGGGGGAATTAAATTTGTCTATATTAAGACTACAGAGTTGTTTGTTGCCAACAGGATTTCTTCACTCACTCACAACAAAGTGCATCACATGCTCAGCAGATCAAAAATAGACACTGTGAAGGACTATTTTTATTTTTGGTTGCGTGAAGCCAAGAAATAGTTGTAAAATGCTTCATTTTAAAACTGGATGCTCTCACTATGAAGCAGAAAAGATCCAGAAAGATGGTGATTAACTCATCTGGCTCACAGTCCATCACAATTCCCGGGTTATTATAATGTGTGACGTAATGCAGAAATAAAGTCTTAGTCTGAAACACAATCTGAGTGAAGACCTGGTAGATGAACAATGTGTGAAAGTTTCACCTCCAAGAGTATGGAACAGATTTGCTTCATACTCCAGGAGTATCGATTTTTGTGAATTGTGTATGGATGGACACCTCATCATGGCATAAGCTCATGTGTAAAAAAAAAAGCACAATGAAGCCATAACTGACCGTGGGTCCTCATGTGGTCCCTCAAAAGTCTTTCTGTTGCAAAACGTTTGGAGCAGTGTGAGCACTGGAACCTCTGACCTATGTGACACGACACAGATTGTTAGATTATTAAAGGTTTTTATAACATTACTAATCTTCATTTCATAAATCTGACAGAATATACCTTCCATGGCGCTCTGTCGTATGATGTGGTCAAACAGCTTTGTATTGTTGGCATACATCCCCCCACAGCCGGGACATGCCACCACCTTTTCCTGAGTGTGGCTGCGCAGGTGCTCTCGCAGCTTAGGACGGCCTTTAGCAGTCGCTTCACAGTCTGAAAATGACAGGCACAAAACCTGGATTCAAACGTCTGAAATCCTCAGCTCGACACTGAAAATGTACAGCTGTACAATCTTCACTTAACTAACATTTACAGTTGAAAAAAACCAAACACTGTAAGCGTACCTTTCCATCCACAGCGTATCGGGATTTCACAGTCTCCTGTAGGTATCTCTATGCACAGGCTGTGCATTTCCACATGGCGATAAAACCACTCAGGGTTTTCATACGGTGGTTGCTTTAACAGATGTGCATTAAGAGAGTTACAGAGCCACATGTATTATTAGTTTAACTCTACTACACAGATCATTTAAAAACTCAGAAATACTGGGTTCAGGAACACTAACAGAGATCACGGTCTGAACACAGTTCACAGTGCCATCCACAAAAGCAGGTTAAAGCTTTGTCATGCAAAGAAAAAGCCATTTATGAACATAATCCAAAACACTGCTGTCTTTATAATCGAGTGAAGCAAAGCGGAGACCTTTTCTGATGTCAGACGAATTAACATTTGCAATTCTTTTTGGAAAACATGGACGTCATGTTCTCTGCAGTGAACAGTGGAGAGACTAGCCAGCTTGTTTTCAGGCTTCGGTTCAAAACCCTAGACCTCTCACGTTATGAAGTAGCATTAGTGTCTATAGAACTGACAGCATAAGATTTGGGAAAGCTCCATCAATGCTCAATGTATCTGCTACTCTCGTCTTTCACCAGCAGCAGATACAGCAAACTTACTTCACATTCCTCCCAAAGGCAGACAAAATTATCTGGGATTTCAGGGATGATGTTGCGATTGTGGTAGGCGATGGAGCAGTTGCCGATTTTTGGATGGGCACTGAGAACTTGCTGACCCAGCTGCTTTAGTTTAGTGTGATAACAGTGAAAGAACACGTGTCGCCGCAACTCTTCAGATCCCTCCACGGAGCAAAAACCACAGTCTCTCCACAGACAGCTTCTCTCCCCTTTGCACAAAAAGTAAAAGAGACTAGATTAGGAGGAATCATCATTTTAGGCAAAGGATCAGTATGACTTATTGATCTGAATGCCTTGTTTATCATCAGGACTTTGGATGTCAGCAAAGTTAAGTAAATTAATTCAATTCAATATCTAGTGGCCAAATGTTATGAATAAGCAGCTGATGGGTAAAAGCTCTCGTCATTTCTAGTGGTGGTCTAGACGTGCAGTAAGCGAAGCCACATTGGTTAAGGTCTATTGAA